GGCCTTGTCTTGGTTTCTGCCAGTGGATGTCGCGGATTCGACCAGGAAGGTGACTTATTGAACTATCAATCACTCCACCATTAAGCTTTTTCCAAACTTTCGCCTCATTAATAGTTTCTTGTACCAAGGTAGTCAGCAAGATCTGAACTTGGGCATACCTTACTGAATTCCTATTCTTCCAAATATGCTAGAGAAACCAAGGTATTATTGCCCCACCAATTCATTCTGGTATCGTCGTCAACTCCATCATATTAAAATCACACTCAAAATTTGATTCTAAGGATTCTGCAAAACCACCTTTTGAGACCGGAATCTCTATGAACCACCAAGCATCTGAATAATGTATGGTTGATTGTCTCGGAGTCTAGGTTGCATAAGCGACCATATTGTGGATGATTCAGACTTCCGTCCATGAGAAAAGAAACGCAAATTTTCTCGTTGCCATAAATGATTCTTTATATAAGGGGGTTGTGTATGAAATATAGAGTATTTTAAAAACCCTAGGAAAACTTCAAGATCCCTTGATTCGTAAGCTAGAGGCTTTGCCTCCTCTGCCTTGGTTAGAGGCTATTTTATGCTATTGTGTCTCAAATATAGAGTATTTTGATTGAAGAAAAACAAAACAAATTTTTTAAAAAAGAAATCCTAAGTTTACTCCAATTTGATTGGTTGAGGCAAAACCTCTAATCAAATGAGAAAGTCTGAGCCAACAAAAAAAAAAACCATTTTTTTATATAATTCAAAAAAAAAATGATCAAGCCGGACCCACTCCGTGAAACCAAATGTCAACTCAAACTGAAACAAAGCGAATCTCTCAAGATATATGATAATTTTAGAAGTTGAGAAGACGAATAAGTCGCCGTCTTCAGACAACGCGTTTGAGATCTTCACCTCGTTCTCATTATTTATTCTTCTTGTAATTATTATTGATCATCTAAAATGATATGTGTTCTAGAAGCTTGACGCATTTGTCTATAATATATTGCACTTCTACCAAACTCTTTTTCATCTTTCTTTTTTGATAACCAACTCTCTCTCTTTTTTCATCTTTGTTTTTTGGGTGTTTGTTGAAATGTAATTTCTGGGGTTTTTCATTTGTTTCTTAATTTTGACCAAACAATTTTGTTGACTATATATGTTGCTTGGAGAACAAGGGCTAAGAGGGAGTGTCATTCTTCTAGAACTAGAACGTTTTAATTATTAATTCTATTTTTAAATAAGACTATCCTTATGAGATTATTTGTAGATAGGTATGTCATCAAAATCTTTATTGTCAACTAATTTTTATACTTGTGAAATATTTGGCCTTAATTGGTGACCTATGTGGAAGAAGACAAATAATTTCGTTTATTTAAATTTCATTTATAAAGTTTTAATTTTTTGTTTGTCATCTGCAAATAAATCTAAAACAATTCATAAATCCAAACCGGTGGAAACAAGTTTACATCGAGCAAACAACATCGAGCATTACGTGCTAAAATTGAGTTTCTCCCAATACATTTTAAACTGTTTAGTTTTGTTCCATTATACTTTAGTTAAAGTGAAATCCAAATTTGCCTTCTAATTTAATTTAAAGAAATGTTTTTGTTAAATTTGAAAATAAATTTATATTATAAACAAAATAAATGAGATATTATCTGATTTATGGAAATCTATTTATTGAAAATATCTTTATATTGTAAACAAAATCTATTAAAAAATAGATTTCATAGAAACCATCAAACCATCGAAACTATCTTTTTCCCTATTCTTCTTTTACTCTGTCTTCTCTGTCGCCACCGAAACCAGCCGGAGATTACTCCTCACTGGCCACCGAACCCAGTCGTCGATTCCTCCTCACCGACAGCCGAACCCAGCAGTCGATTTCTCCTCACCGGTGGCCGAACCCAACCTCGATTCCTCCTCACCCGCTACGGTCGACGCGTTCTCACCAGCAGGAGATTGGTTTGAATTGCATGCGGCTGCAATTCTACTCATCGTTGTTGCTCCGGTACTACTCGTTGGTACATTCAGAGACAATTGGGTTGGTTTAGGGGTCTGCTTAGGGATTGGATGTTACTTGCTTCAAAAACACGTTAGAGCTTCTGGTGGATTTAGAAATGCATTTACAAAAGCTAATGGCATCTCCAACACTGTCAGGATCATTTGTTCTTGTTGTCTTCCGTGTCTGAACTTTTATCTTTTAAGCTACCTCACTCCACAATTCCCAACTCCTTTAAGTTTCTTGTCCA